CCACCTCGTGAATGCGGCTTGAACTCACCTCTTTGTCATCGTCTGGCTTGGTGGCACGAAGGCCAGCTTTGATGTGATCCACCACAAGAGCGGTGTTTAGGATCTGATCGGCAAAGCAAGGCTTACACAGCAGTGGAACACCAGCTGCAAGTGCCTCCATGACGGAATTCCATCCAGAGTGAGTGAGAAACGCTCCCACGGATCGATGCTGTAGTACCTGGGGAGGGATTCTTAATTTCAATGTTGATCACCTAGAGAATCATCAAATGATAAAACGAACCTCTAGTTGAGGGGCCCATGGGATGACAATACCTCGATCTATGAGACTGATCTTTTCCAGGAACTTGGCTCGGATCTCCTCGCCTTCGAAAAGGTCAAGCCGGATGACCCACAAGAATGCATGGCCGCTCTTGTCCAGCCCGGTCAGTATCTGCTCCACCTGATCATATGATAGGATGGCCAAGCTTCCAAACGAGATGTAGACGACCGAGCCCGGAGCTTGCTTGTCCAGCCATTCCAGGCAGCTTCGATCCTGCTGCCACTGAGAAGCATGTTCCTTCGAGGGTTGCATAAGGCATTGCAAGGGCCCGACGGCGATGAAGTGCAGATTGTCGCTGCTGGCAAGCTCCTCCAGCTGCAATGGCTCCATCTCGTAGACCGAGTTGAGCAGCACCCACGCGTCCTTCTGCATGACACTGTTCCTTCGAATCCTCAACCGGAAGTCCGGGTCTTTCTCATCGGGTTGCAGCGTCTCCGGAAGATACCGTGCTGGGATTGGTGGAAGTCCGGGTAAGAAGTCTAGGATCTTGCTACTTCGAATCCCTGTGGAATACATACGGATGTATAACCAAAGAAAACGAAAGATTTCTCGGCCTACCATTCACTGGCAGGACTCCGTTATCCCTGAGCAATGGGATGCGTAGAGACAAGAGAGCCCAAGTTGCAGAGCTCGTCCAGAGCGCTGCACGGCAGATTCCAAACTTGCTGGCTACATCGTGAGTCCAGCTCATGAAAGCATCGGAGAGGATGCAAGTCAATGGAGGGCGACTGGAGTCGGCCGTGAGATCCGCCAGTATCTGCTCAAATTCACCCCTCATTCCTTCTTCCAAAGCCATTAGATACCTCATCACGTTGTTTCCCAACCTCCCCGTTGGTAGGCACTCATCCGAGATGCTCACGAACCTGGGGTTCCAAATAGATCTTGCGGGGAGGAAAGAAACTCTCACAACCGTACCTGAACTGATCATCGCCCTCTTCCAGATTGTTGTGGCGGCTGCGAATGTTGAGGAAGGTGATGACGATTCCCATCGAGGCAAGCTTGCGGCACAGCAACATCATAGGATTGATATGGCCCTGCGCTGGGAAAGGGAATGCCAAGATGTGAGCTTGTTGGGAATCCATGACGAAAACCTGTCGAAGTCGATTTTCCTAGAGCACTTTTACCTTTCCAGAATCAGGTTATGTTAATTTCTGTGGGAGTGAACAAGCACACAGCCACGTGAGCGATCCAGACGCCGCCACGGATCGTCACGATAAACCCATACATTTAACCATATATCAACCGTCATAATAATAACACAACACCGTTTCATAGTATCGGAGCAGCGAACGATCTAATGCCAAGAGGACAGTTGCAGAGGAAGAATCAAAGGGGCCAGGAACCCTTGGCTCAGGAGCGGGCAGTGCTGGCGCGGGTGAAGATCCAGCCAACAAGCTCTTTGCCCAGCCTGCCGGAAGGTGTGCCCTTGTTGCGTAAATTCCCTTTTAATCTATTCTTAGATTATGTCTTCTGCTAACGCAGCAGGAAATTCTTGGGACTCTGGGGGACTGGGAACAGAATTTCTCCACTTGGAAAACAAAAGTACAGCTTATCCTTTTGGCCAAGGACTGCTGGCCTATAGTGGATGGAACGACTCAACGTCCGGCTGCTGCGGATGTAACCCAACGGCTCGACTGGGACTCCAAGAATCGAAAAGCGGTTAGGTCTTGGGGATGCTTGATCTTACCAAAACAGCCCACCAGAACTGGACATCCCTTACACAAATCTTTGCTGCCAAAGCTGCCAATGCTAAGGTGGTGCTAACACAAAGGTTCTTCACGATGAGAATGCAACCTGATGACACCATGGCCACTTACATTGGAAAGTTGAAAGCGATGATCACCGAGCTGAAGGACGCGGAAGCAGCAATCACCATTGATCAAGCTAAGGCATTCCTTCTGAGCTCTGTCCCCCCTGATCTCCAACCTTTCGCATCGATGCTCTCGGCTGTGCCTGGAAAGGACTTGGACTCGCTCTACTCGGACCTGATCGAGGAAGAACGCAAGCAGAACGAGCGGAGACAAAAGGCGCCCTCTCAGGCTGCTCGGGTGGAGCAGGCCTTGATCATGGGAAAGCAATCGGGTGGGAAGAGACGAGATGACCCTGTTCGAGGACAAAAGAGCCCTTCTCCAAGCCCTGGATTTGCAACCAATAAAAAACGCAAGGGCCCATGTAACTACTGCGGCAAAGCTGGCCACGTGGAGCGTGAATGCCGGATCAAGAAAGCCGCAGAGAAAGCTCGCGCTGAAAGAAGCTCTTCTTCACGCCAACCTGACACGATGTTGATGATGACGCTCGCTGCATCTTCATCCACTGTGTCCGAAGCCGAAGTGCTCTGGATGGATTCTGGAGCCTCGATGCACCTCACACCATTGAAGAGAGCTTTTCACAAGTGTTCGATCCCAAGAGCGAGAAATGCATCTTCATGGGCTATCACACCCAGGTAAAAGCCTATCGGCTCTATAACTGCCAGCGCAGGAAGCTGGTGGTGAGCCGAGATGTGGTGTTTGATGAAGCTCATCTTTATCGAGATACCCTGAGACTCCCTCCTGTTTCTTCTCTGGTGGATCTTTCTGAGATTTTGGACGACGTTCCACATCTCCACCCAGCACCAGACAATCCAGCTGATGCAGAGCCAGGAGTTGCTGAAGGAGCGCCCGAAGGAGGCGATCTGGCAGGAGGAGCTGATCACGCTACTTCTCTTCCTTCGACACCTCTTCTGACGACTCCACAGGCCACAGCGGCTGCATCCTCAAGCACCAATGACCTGGAACAGCCAGATCTTTCCACCTGTTCGTTGGCGACGAGTTATATCAAGATGCCACCACTCCTTCCAGCATTCCTAAGCTACCACCTCCTCCAGCCGGCACAGCGGTGGTGACACGCTCGGGTCGTGTCGTGAAACCATCTCTCAAAGCCAAGGAGGCGATGCCTATAGGAAAGCGTGCCTACTTCTGGGCTCTGACGGCTCCACCTGCCTCTCTCGGTCCCCAGGCGGCTCTACACGGACCAGAAGCTGAGCACTGGCAGGCAGCTATACAGGAGGAGTATGATTCTCTCCAGAAAAACAACACTTGGTCGCTGGTTGAACTTCCAGCTCGTAGAAAGCTCGTCTCATCCAAGTGGTTGTTTAAGAAAAAGTACAACGCTGATGGAAGCATTGAGCGCTACAAGGCGAGATTTGTGGCACGCGGATTTTCTCAAGTTCATGGGCTGGACTACTCGGAGACTTACAGCCCTGTGGTGAAACTCACAACCATTCGTATGCTACTAATCTTAGCTGCAGAATTGGATCTCGAGCTCCATCAACTTGACGTTTGTACTGCGTTCCTTAACGGCCACATCGATGAAGAGGTGTATGTGGCCCAGCCTCCTGGTTTTATCCAGCCTGGAGAAGAACACCTCGTTTGCAAGCTTCACAAAGCTCTCTACGGACTCAAGCAGTCGCCACGCCAATGGTACACGAAAATAAATTCTTTTCTAATTTTTCGTGCGTAGCCTCTACATATATTTTGACGCTGGGGCTATTTGTTCCTTGCGCTATATGTGGACGATGCTATTCTCGTGGCAAATCAGCTACGTTTGATCCACAAATTTAAAACGTACCTTGGCGCTAAATTTGCCATGAAAGACCTCGGTGAGTTGCATTTCTGCCTCGGTATCCAGGTGACGCGCAACAGGGAACGAGGCACTCTGGAGCTAAGCCAGGCAAAATATGTTTCCGACGTGCTCCAGAGGTATGGCCTTGCTCATGTTAATCCAGTTGCTACTCCCATGGAAACAGGCACGAAATTATCTGCTGAGCGTGGAAAGTACCTTGATCAATCTCCCGAGGAGGAGAAAGCATCTAGAGCAGTCTATCGCTCTATGGTCGGCAGCCTGATCTACCTGGTAATCTCCACTCGGCCTGACCTTGCGTATGCTGTGGGAACAGTGGCGAAGTACCTGGACCGTCCCTCCACAGCACACTGGCAGGCTTTGAAACGTATTATGAGGTACGTGGCAAACCAGATAACTTTAAAGTACTCCAGAGGCGAGAGCGGCAACAAGCTGGCTGGTTACTCTGATGCTGATTGGGCCGGGGATCCAGACAACAGGAAGTCAACCACAGGCTACGTTTTCCTGCTAAATGGAAATGTCGCAAGCTGGTGCAGCAAACGACAGGCTATTACAGCAATGTCAAGTACCGAGGCTGAGCACATAGCTGCAGCAGCTGCAATCAAGGAAGCAGCATGGCTGAAGGGACTTCTCCAGGATCTAGAAATCAACACGGGCGTGGTCAAGCTATTGTGTGACAACCAGTCTGCAATAGCTTTGACCAAGAACTCCAGGTTCCACTCTCGTACTAAACACATTGAGCTGCGCTTCCATTTTATACGAGAGCAGATCCAGAGAGGAATGATCGAGCTGGAGTTCTGCCCGACAAACTCCATGCTAGCGGACGTGCTAACAAACCACTTCCTCGTGTTAAACATGAAGTCTTCACGAAGGCTCTTGGGCTGACTTTAGACGTTGGCCTTGAGAAGTGTGGGAGTGAACAAGACCACGTCAGCACACAGCCACGTGAGCGATCCAGACGCTGCCACGGATCGTCACGATAAACCCATACATTTAACCATGTATCAACCGTCATAATAATAACACAACACCGTTTCATAATACAACAATTTCATGTTTACAATCAAAGCCTGGAGTAGACTAGCAAGGGTGAGCTCCACCATGGTCTGTAGATAGTCCCCACAATGACAATGGAGCTTTCCAGGAACCCCTCGGGCTTGAACTGTTCAGGGATTCCCATAGGCTGGGATCCCGCCCGATTGCCTAGAGATTGACAATAAACTGTCAAACCTTTTGGGTTTTCATACTCGCCCTGGAAGGTACACTTTTGCGTTGACTCGCGTGGCAGCAACAGCGGCAGTGGCGGATGCAGCCGGAACGTTTCCTTGGCTTTCAAGTAGACGAGCTCGTCTAGATCCTCTTCTTGCACACGGCTGTCTCGAGCAACTCTATCGAGCTCCTCTTGGGCTTTCTCCATGCAGCTCGGAGTGTTTATGAGCGAGGAGAGAGCCCACTCGGATGTGAGCAAAAATGATGATTTACCATGACCATTCCTTTGATTGTGTTCTCGTCCACACCTTCTGCAAGGAGTATATCAACACGATCATCAGGACCGGCATTGTAGTTTACCTTCCTCTTTAACTTGTGCTCGTCGACAATCATCTGGTATATCTCATTGATCAAAGCCTTCATTTTTGCAACAGTGCCGTAAGGATCAAGGAATTCTCCAGGCACAGAAACAGCCGCGAGATCCAATGACTCTTCCAATACCATCAGGAACCTCTCAAACATTGGATGGCCAATCACCTGCTTGTGGAAAGCCATCTGAGCTATGTTGTTCACGTTGAGCACAGGGAGCCGGTTCCATATGCTGACTACGCTTCCCTCCTGGCGAGTGATGGATTTCAACACCTGGAGAATCCCCTCGGCACGTAAAGGTTTGAATACCTCCATGTTCTTGGAAGTGAAGAGCTCCAGAGTGACCAGTTTCGTCACTATATTTCAGTGGTCACCAGCAGGAGAATTCAACGCCCCCTGCTGCCAAAGAACAAACAGTTCGAGTTTGTATTTAAGGCAAATGCAATATTGTATTCTTGAGGTGATATGCTCTTCTCCTCATGACATCCAAGTGGCATATGTTTTGCCACCTTCCAGATTCCTATACCCAGATTGTCACTGGAGGGTCATGAGTGAGGACCCTTTCTCCTCTTGTTATATATAATTCTTTCCCATCCATTGTCGCTCCCATTCTTTTCATGTGTATGGTGAGAAACTCTAGTGCGCATTGTGCCAAGTCGATCATCAGCGCTGGAACCACTCCCAGCTTCTTGGAGAGCTTCACAAGGGACTGGTGTGGCAGTTCACCGAGCGAGTGCCCAAAGACTGGAGTTATTGAACGCTGATGAAACAAAAGTCATACAAGTAGAGAACAACAAACTAGTAGTGTGGCTGCTCCTTGGCTTCCATTTCTTTCTGGAGAGCCTTAAATTGGGACGCGCGACAAGTTTCACATTGTTGTTGTGGCAACACTCTGGAAAAGCGACAACAAAAGCTTTGGAAGGTGCAATTGCTTATTGTGATGCTGGTTGGAATGCGGTGATCCAGTGCATCTTAAGAAGCTGATTTGGGCCTGCCACAACCACATGCATGTCTTCGTCTACATTCTACAAATCCTTTTCATCTTTTTGCGCTCAGCTCTCGCGTCTTAGGAGGCCAATCCAAGCGCAGCACAATCTTCTCGTATAGCTTAGAAATGGCCCCGCAATGTTTTTCCACACTTATTGTCTGAAAACTTGCACGAGTGCGTCCTTTGCAGTGGTGGCCTCTCTAAAGTTGTCCTTGGTATCTTTGCAGTGAGTAGCAACAAACAGGAATCCTCGTCTCAATGATGTAAGAGAAACCACGACCTTTAACAAGCAGGTGGACGTTCACGAAATTATATTCCATGCTTAACTGGTCACGTGAGATCCAACCCCAATAACTCAGAAAGTATTTCTTGAGTTCCGGGGAGTGTACTTACATACAACGAGAGTTCTATCTACTCTCTAAATGTTACAGGATTCAGTAGATCAGTATCTAGCGCCTGGGATGAAGCGAAAAAACTGGAGCACCCTTTGTTCCAATCTGTTTTCTTCCTGCTCTAGAGCGCCTCCCGTTAAACACCATCCTCTCTTCAACGATGCCATCGTCCCGATTTGTTGATGATACTTGTGTTCTTGCTCAGCTCCAAAGACTGCAGCGCTCACAGCAGCGATTGTCACCAAAAACTTCTGGCTCGCCATCGTAAGAAATGAATTACCTAAATAACTCTTTAATACTCTTCCTGCCGTCCGTTCCAAAAGGGTGCGCAAATCGCGTCCGTCCCTTCCAAAAGGCGAAGATCACTTGAACCAGCTTTTTGTCTAGTCATTTCCAAAACCAGGCAGCCTGTATCCAATCCTTTGCAGTGCTGCCGAGAACTCCGCGACTCCAAAGTCCTTCACCTCCCGGCAAGGCCTCATCCAAGAAGTTATCACAGCTTCCACGCTCCTTGGAGCTCCAGTCCTCGCTTTCTTCGAGCTGCTCGTGTGATGATCGTGATAATCGTTATGTTCACCATCGCCACCGCCATCACTTGGTTGGGGTGTCGATGAGCTGCTGCTCAGCAATCTCCTCCTCCTCCTCAAAGTCACAAGCTCCGAGTTGGGACTGATGAAGTTCTCGTCAGCCTCGGCGAGCCTGGTGCTCGCCTTCTTTCCTCCGGAGCTCGAAGCCACTGTGGTAATGAGATCCCGAGCGGGGATGGACCGGGGATTCGACAGCACTTTCTCGACGTCGTGCGAGCTTGGAGGCGGTGTCACAATCCCGGGAGATGGAGCCGGTGTTGGGTGACGATCGCCCACAATGGCTGGCGGTGTTGGATGACGATCGCCAACAATGGATGGACGAGGTGGCGGTGTCGTCGCCGCTGCTTCTCTGTTCTTCGCTGGACTGACGAACTGAGAAAAATTGAGGCTTTCCAACGCGATCGTTGTTTCTTCTCTTCCCCTTTTACCGCTCGACCGCCTTCCACCAGTGTCAAATCCTGGACTGGCACTCTCTCCTCCATCCTGTTTCGGGCTAGAGCTACTGCAATCCCTTCCACGAATGCTGGGCGATTGCGTGGTCAAGCCCACACCAGGAAGATTCGGCCAGTGCAATGGCCTGCACGGCGATTGCGATCGATCGCTCTCGAAAGCCCCGTTGAAGCTTCGGTCGCTGCGCTGGCTGTCTGGCGGAGTCCCCACTGCTCTTGCCGCATTCTTCGTCGCGGGAGGAGCCGGCGATTGGATGTATCCCTGGGTATTGAAATTTACCTCCAGCCGATCGTTGTTACCCTCGGCATCATCGCTGCCCTCGCCCTCGCGAATCTCCTGCGAGGGCTGCGTGTCCGGCGGCGAGCTGAAAACCACGGGATGAATCACCGGCTGCGAATCCAAGCTGCTCTCTGGAAGATCTACCGCAAGGGCAGCAGGGGGAGGAGAAAGAACCTCGGCATTGGCATCCGCTGGAGCAGGAGCTTCTTCTTGCTGGCAAAATCCAGGGATTGCGCTGAGAATCTCCTCCTGGGAAGCCGAGATCACAAACTCGCGCTCCATAAAACCTAAAAGAATCTAAGGTGAATATACTAGGCAACTAAACCCCGAGCCCTAATGTTTAATTTATGCTCTAGGGCTCCTCATTCGATCGCGATCGATCGATCGCAATGCAGCCTTCGTCTCCTTCGCCGACGATCTCCACTGTTACAGAGACGGCGCTGACATACGATGAGGTCTCGATGCATCGGAGCCGGCATTTCGTCATGGCTTTGCAGGTATTGTTCTTGTTCTTCCACTCGCTGTGGCTCGATCTGTGCGCGCATTGGACTGCTGGTTAGGAGCTCAAGAATTTGAGACCACAATTACACTCTGCCGCGGAGTACTGCGAATCCTCGTATCTCTACAGCGAGCAAAAGCAAGCGTAAGATCTTTCTTATCTTCTTGGGGTAGTGAGATTGGGAATTTTTGTTTGCAGCGTTTTGGAAAATCTTAAGGACTACTCTGTGAAAGCGCTCGTCAATGCAGTAGATCATCTCGGCACCGTAGCGTGCAAGCTCAATGATCTTCTCGACCAGCAAAACTCCGAAATCGTATCTGCCGATCTCCGGATTTCATCGCTCGCTCAGGTAGACTTATCTCGTTTCTGGAATAAGAATAAGAACTTATGGATCTCTATGTCTCCATAGCGCTATCGAACCTGCCAAGAGTACACGGACCGTGAAGCTCTCAAACAGCAGTGCCTCTACAAAACATATCCTCGGCACCACAAGCATTATAGTTTCCCAGGCAGGTTATAATTACAAACACTGTCGTGCATTGCTGATAGCTGATCGTTTTTTTCTTTTCTTTTTTCATTCTAGAGAATGGCGATGTCGAGTTGCCTAAATCACCCGTGACTGGACCTGAAAGTCAGAATGATTCCCCTCGAATGGTCTCTACTGGTAAAAGTCCGCGGGTGCAAGAAATTGAGAGAGACGGTATGTGTGTGTGTTTTTCTAAATCTCCCCGTTACTTTACGTAATTCGCGTGCTTCTTTCTTCCCAGCTTCTACTTATGGTACTCCAGGTCGTGCTGGTGTGGATTCTAAGGCTGGATCACCTCAACCAATGGCAAGCAGGTGAGTCGGCCCAAACACTCACTGATTTTTGTATTCATCCGTCTGCGTCTTCACAGCAACGGAACAAGGCGTGACGTCGTGCATGGTAAGAACCAGTTACTGTGTTTATTTTCTCTAACATCACGAATAGATACGCTTCCGGTGTCGCCAAAAGTAGTATCAGGCGGAACGCCACGATCCAACAAAGTAAGAAGAACTTTTTCAAACTAGTCACTGGTCGAGTAATTTGATTTATATGGCAGGGATCTCCCGCAGAGGAATCAAAGTCATTGTCTTCCCTCATGTCCACTGATGGAGAGCGTCCTACAAAGGATCTCCGCTCAGTTCCTTCCCGTAGCAAGAACATGTTCATGTCCTTGCTTGGGAAAACCAAGAGCCTTAAATCATCGAAGAGCACTGTCTGATGAAAGGCGTTCTTCTTCTGTATCTACTACTGTAAAAGGTATTGTTTTTTTCTTTTCGTTTCCAAATAACCGTCGGGGGTTGCCACGTAGCGTGTTTCCAGTGTTGAGTTAGGTCGACAGTTTTACTGTGAGAAGACAATGGCGGAATCTCCAGAGCAGGCACGACCTCGAGAGCTCTCCGTGAACAGTGCTGCGGCTGTAGACAGCGCGATTTCCTTGGTTGTCCAGGCAGTTGACGTCGAAAGAGGACTCACTGGAGAAGAAACTACAGTCGTCACTAAGGCCGTCGACAGTGTGGTATCAGAAACATTCTCCTACGAGCAGGATCAACTGGCTGCGGCCGCCGAGTCTACGACAGTCGTGGTCTCGGAGGCCATAAAGTTTGAAAAAGAGTACTATCAGGATCACGAGGATGCCGTCAACGAATCTATATCGGAGATGGTATCTGAGTCCATCAAGACAGAGCTTAAATTCAAGGAGCAAGCTCCGACTCACGCAAAAGTTGTTTACACCGAGCTGACGTTGGCACTCATCAAACCGGATGCTCTCAAAGCTGGTCATGATCGTGAGATACGATACGCAATGCATGCTCACGGTTTTGTCATAGTGCACGAGGCTTACATTAAGGTGAGTGTTGTTCTTGTTTGGACCGTTTTCGTTGATGGCCCTGTTGTTTATGCAGTTTACTTCTGTCAGAGCTGGCATATTTTATGACCATCACCGTGGCAAGCCGTGGTTTCAGAGATTGACTCGGTTCATGAGCAGGTAATACACTCTCGATTTGTGTGGTTGTATTGATGAACCTTTAGTAAAACAATTCAGTGGACCTGTGCACGGGTTCGTCTTGGGAAAGGAGCGAGCGGCAAGGTCATGGAATGTTGTGATCGGTCCCACAGATCCAGAGCAAGCTCGCAAAGAGTCGCCTTTGAGGCTTGTTTTGCTGATTGGATTTATGAACTTCTCTCATACTCGCCGTTCTTGCTCCAGCTTACGAGCGCGCTTTGGAAGGGATATCCTGCGAAATGCAGTGCATGGTAGCTTTAATGCAGCACGTGCAAGACAGGAGATCAAGTTTATTTTTCCCAATGGTAAATGCCTGGACTTCTGAGAAGCGAGAGCTTCAAAAATGGATAAAATTGTGTTTTCCCTGTGCAGTGGTTATGGATCCTCTACCTGATCCACCGAAGGCTCGGATCACCTTCGACAAGACCTTAAAGCGAACTTTGATAATGGGATTGACAGCGTTGTGCAAAGCCAAGCCTTATTCGGAGCCGCTCAAAGTGCTTGTATCCTTTTCTACTTCTCAGCTTGTATGTTCCACTTACCTGCGTGCAGTCCTTGATCAGAACGCAGAGATGGTTCGCTCGGTGGTTACAAGAACACAATCCAAATAGGCCTTACATTGATGGCAAGAGATACGTGGAAGTTGTCATTCCTGACTGACTACTCCAAGAACACGTCTGTAAGTTGTCTAATAAAGTTGTCTGCAGACAAAGAATGACAAGCTTGCCTTGGTGCCTTGGTCCCTTGGTGCCGTGTCCTGTGGATTATATGTGGATCTAGTCTAGGTACCGGGTCCTGCTGGCTCTTCACAAAGTTGGCAGTATAGACATCTTCGTCGGCATGTTCCAGTGCCAGTTTGGTTGGGGGAAGCAGGACGAGGTTCTAGTGTTCTGAACAACAGGTGGTTCTTCCTCTTCGAAATGGGGGGATGGATTCTGCTCCCTGCCTTCGGAGGCCCGGGGCCAGTCATCGAAGAAATGCCGCAGCAGCGCTTCAGGTGTTTTGCGACTGTGGCCGTGATCCGTGTCCTGCTCGGGCCGTGGTCCGCAGCTTCCTCTGGCAAAATAGTTCGTCAAGGGGCAGGGAATACTCTCTCGAGCGGAACTCGTTCGTGACAGTCAGTACCTTTGGTCCTCGTTGTGCTTATCAGTCGGACGCTCGACAAAGTCGGGAACTTTCGAGTGCTGCTGGACCGGGGCCGGAAGTGGTGACGGGTTTTGAGGCGGCTGAGCATCGGCCGTCGTCAGCGTGGCTTTGGACTTCTTGGACCTGTTCCTGCCTCTGTGGATGTGCCTCTCGCAGTACTTTTGGTCGACTGCTACCACCGGCTTGGCGCACCTCCATTTCTTGCCGTCGGTCCGTCGACACCGGCCCGGCTCCGAGTCCATGAGGTTGCTCGGACAAAGTCCGACCTGGAAGGCTGCAAGCATGACAAGAAGGGGCAGGGACATGAGCAATTATTGTTTTTCCCGTGGGTGGCGCAAGTCTTGGGAACAGAAAAACATGTAGCGGCACAGTGCGGTGCGGCTCTCTAAAATGTGGCTGAACTGTTCCAAGGACCCACAGGATGAGACGATGATGAAGATAGGCCAATGTCGGTGGCCAGGGAGAAACGAAAGCGAACAAAGAGGCGCGGGAGATCAGGGAAATCTATAAAAACACTCACTGTTGGGTGAGAGGGAGAAGGCCCTCCGGATGGGAATGATGAGCTCCGCCGGGACAGGTGCTCTTGCCAGCATGTACTTGAAGATGAGCGCCTGGTGCTCCAGCTCCAGCCATTGCGAGGCCGTGAAAGGGAAGTGGCCGTGGTGGAAGTCTCCTCCTGCAAAAGCGAGAAAAGGCAGCCAGGTGAGTAAACTCTTGCGAGAATTCCTTTGGCTTTGTGAGATCACTGATGACGGACCTGCAGCTCCTGCCTGTTTCAGAGCGGTGTCGCAGAAGTGGCCGTAGTCAGCAGCCATTGGAATGAAGGTGCTGCCCGTGTGTTGATCCAGCATTCTGTGAGATGTGGGAGGGGGACGGTCCGACGAGTAGAACCTGGCTGCTGCTGCCGCTGCCGCTGACGCCGCCGCTGCTTCTGCGTGGTGTTCGTAACTGTCGAGTGGCAGCGGTGAAGACGACGAAGGCGGTGGCGGAGATCGTTTGGAATTGTTGTAAAGTTGGTTGAGGCGCAAGTCCATGACGAGGCTACGGTGATGATGATGAGAGAAAAGTGGAGCCGAGAGACCGGGTCGCTTCTCACAGGAATGAAACCGACAATGCAATCTAGGCAAGAAGTTCTCTTTCCTTTTTGTTGTTTCTCACTGCGACTGCTAACTTACGCTCTCCTTCTCTCACAGGGACTCTCCTCTAGTGGAAGGGAGCGAGCGAGCGAGCACCAAGGCAAGCAAGTAAAGGCAAACAACAAAGCAAGAAGCGGAATACACGCGTACGAAGGTCGCTTTATAAATGTGTCGTGCTGTAGGCAGCAGCCAAGCTCAAAGGTTTGCTCCTCTCTTGGCTTTTTTTTTATTCCTTCCTTTCTAGTGAGCTGATTGATTGATGCTCGCTGGCTGCGCTACTTGCTGGCTTCTGGCGAGACAATCAACAGCCGAAGGCCAAAAAGAAAAAGGAGAAGGTTGCATCCGGAAATCCAGATCCATTGTCAAGGAACAGCGCTTGGATCTTAACTAGCGACATCATCAAAGAACTACTTAAATCTATCCTTTTGCCCCGCCGGAGTATGGCTTTTAGATAAGAACGAACCTCTCTTTTCACTTCATTCTAAAAGCTTCAAAGCGCCCCTTCTTTTCTCACCAACAATATCAGATCCACAGCAGGGGCCATTAGTTTTATTGTAATGTTGTTGCAGGCAGGGATTTGATTCTCAAGCCAAGCCAAGCCAAGCCGAGAAGAAGAAGTCTGAGAAGAAGAATGAAAAAAACTAAAGGTATGTATGTAATCCTTGTATCAAAACCATTGTTTTTATAATGTTTTTCTCCTGGCAGCCATTGATTATAGCTCGAATTGAATTTGGGCATTGTTTTCCATTGCCACCACCAAACCGTCGCTTTGCTTTTTCCTGTGTTTGTCAGTGTCGCAAAGTTCCTCGTTTCTTCCTGCGCCTTGTTTTTATTGCGCTTCAGCGGGGCAACGACAAGGCTGGTGTTGCAGGGGCGACAGGAGATTCCCAGGGAATCCGGGGGAGATTCCCGCGTACGAAAGTCTCCTCCGTACTTAGATGCCACGTTGTCCCCTCCGCCGCTGACGCCAGGCGCCAACCACCATATGACACAACCAATGCTTGTGACCGCCAGCTTGCAAGAGGCGTACGGCCAGGCCCTTTGTATTTGTACAGTGCAAGTGTATAGGAGAAAGTATTTTATATGGCAAATCTAAAGTTCACGAGTTTGCTGTACACATCTTTTTTGAGTTCTCTTAGAGATTTCCGTAATTGAAAAGAAAAAAGAAAAAAAGGAGATTGAATCTAATTGATTTCCTCAGGTGGTATCTTTCCATTTGCATCAATTCTCATATATCCTGTCTTGGAAAACTACAATGTTTGAAATCGGTAGTATACAATTTCTAGCTAAAATTCACCAAATATCTCACCCTGTAGTAGAAAAAGGGGAGCTTGCTTTTCCTGCAAGTTCTTCGGAGCCTTCCAAATTGTAAGGGCTGATCTTCGTTTCTCCAGTCCAGACTATATTGATGCTTCATAAAATAAAAAAAAATTGAATCTCTAATTAATTTTGTGAAAATTCCTCAGGTAGTTCTAGCTAAATATCTCACCCTGTAGTAGAAAAAGTGGAGCTTGCTTTTCTTGCAAGTTCTTCACAGCCTTCCAAATTGAAAGGGCTGAGACATTCCAGTTGATCTTCTTTTCTCCAGTCCAGACTATATTGATGCGTCATATGGCTAAGTCAAGCATTTTGACCTTTGTGGACTGGCAGTTGACTAGATCTTGATCTTTGAGGAGAGACTGACAGACTTGAGACATTCACACCTTAAACCAATTTTTATTTTTGTTGACTTGTGGCCAGATTATGTATCGTCTATTTCGCAAGCTTGTCAATATCTTTATAAAACCTTGACAACACATTGAGTTGCCCCACTGGATTCAAGGGCGTGGGGGATGTCTGCCGCGCTCGTTTATGTCGTTGTGCTCCAAGTGGTAAGATGCACCATGCGCTCCTCTGGCAGAAACCGCATCCTTAGTGGGATTTCTAGCAGTAGCAGCAGCAAAATTTGGTGCAAGAAGCAGCAACACAATCCAAAATGCCATCAGTGACAACAAAAGAAACGCACTTTTGCTCATGCTCTTGCTCTTCATTCTCCTCAATCAAAACTTATAATTGTGTGCTTTGTTACACACTCTTTGCCTGGGGAAGCTAATCTTATATAGCAAGGAAACACTCATGGTAAAGTCAAAATTCCCTCTTAGTGGTTACAAGGAAATGCTCCACTTTGGAAGAAAGAGTTGATCCATGACTCCATTAAAAAAACCACAAAGACGTGGTTCTTTCTAAGCCAAGACTTTGCCACGTGGCGGCGGTTCCGGGGCTGCACGTGGCACGATCTCGGGCCTGCCCTAACGGTGCCGTGGAAAAAATTTCTGGCATAAAAAAATGCCATGGAAGAAGCGAGAAGGGCACAAGACGCATGCAAAAAAAACGATGAAGAGGAAATCGCGTGTGGAAGTATTTAGGGTTTGGGGGAAGGGGGAGAGCGAGGGTTCGCGAGGAATCCTCCAGCGCGCCGCGGAGCTGCGCAGCACCAGCGCCAGCATCAGGTAGGCGAGGCCGATCTCTCCCCAATTCCGCGCTCCCGGAAGCGCCTCTCCGGCTCCTCCAGCTCCAGGATCTTGCCAGTCGCAGCGCGGCGCTGAATGCCGTCTTGAGATCGCGAGCTCGAAAATGCCGCCGGGCATGAAATATTGGGATGACTGTGTGGATCCCGAGGACATGCTCGCGATGTGGTCGCATGTCGATGTCCGCAAGGAGTGGATCGCCGCCGGGGAAGCTCCAGGAAGCAAGGTTCATATGTCGAGAAATCCGGACGGCCATCCATACCTCACTCAAACGGAAATGCGGGTAAGAAATCTCCTTTCTTACTTTCTCTTGCACGCTACCATAGCTAACGCAAGCTCTTCTTGTCCGTGCTTTCTGGTATAGGCTGTGGCGGAGCTTATCATTGGAAGGCACTTCAAGCGAAGGCTCGATCCAGTAAGTTCTTGTTCTTTTTTATGCCTGTTGCTGGATTGATGGATTTTTGTCCAGTAAGTTCTTGCTCTTTTTTATGCCTGTTGCTGGATTGATGGATTTTTCTTCTTCGTCTTTGTTTGACAATGCAGTCGATGATTTGCGCTATTGCGGAGATCGAGAGCCATCGTCAACCTCTAGCACATCGCTATGAGCCGAAGCTAAAGGAAGCAAGCACGGGTCTTATGCAAGTGTTAGCGTCCACGGCTGAATGGCTAGTCAAGTAAGTGTTGTTTTCTGAGCTCTCCTTGGTTTCCTCGTAACCGAACGCAAATAAAATTGTTTCCATAGGGACATGAGCTTCAATGCCTATTCTGCTGACATGCTCTACAGACCTTTTGTCTGTGTCTACTTTGGAGCGGCATATTTGAAATGGTTGTCTACCTACGAGCATAAGTAAGCTAATAGTTTTTAGCTAGCGGTTCTTTGACTTATACAATGCCACTGTAGGAGGCGGAGTGAAGAGTTCATGGTTCGGGCATATAACTCAGGACCGAAGCATGCGACAAGCAAGTTCACTCTCGGTTATTGGAACCGTTACTTACAAGCCAAGCAGAACCTACCTATTGGAAGGTAATACTATCTCAAACGACATGGATCAGGATCAGATGTTTACTTTCGTTTTGCATCAGGGAGTTGCCTGTTCTTGAGTCGCCTGCTTCAACGCCAGCTCCTGCTCATCTGGGTTCCGCTGCAGTGCAACCGAGTCCTTCGCCAGGTAAACTTTTGTTGTTACGTCCCCAGAGTATTTTATTTGTTTTTGCGTTGTTTTAGGACGCCAGTGGATTTATTGGGAGGAAAGAACTTCGGCACAGGACATGGCAGAAATGTGGAGACAACCAGATGTGAAAAAGGAATGGACCAAGGCAGGAGAAAAACCAGGAAAAGTGCGCTTTTCCCGTGATACTCAGATGCGACCTTTTGTTACAAGGACGGAGTTGAAGGTAAAATCTGTATTTTACTTCGCGTGTCTAAATCTCTATGTTCCTCTAGGCCATTGCAGGAATAATCGTATCGAGATACTTTACTGACAGAGGAATTAGCCCAGTAAGCGGAATTTTCTTTCATGCCTTTATAAATCTATGCTTGATTTTGTTTGTCAGGCTATGCTTTGCACGTTAGCAGATATCAGCAGTAAAAGGCTTTTGTTCGGGCTGGAATCTCCGACAGGACTAATGCAGACGCCATATACCACCGCGTTATGGCTCTACTCGTAAGCAAAATGTCCATTATTCCTTACATGTTTTTTATTTGCTTTGTTCTCCCTGTCAGAGATTTGGGGTACAAGTCATACAGGCTAAGATCATGCGAAGACTTAACTAAGCCCTTTGTGTCGATGTATTTTGGAGCGGCGTATGTCTCCTGGTTAGCAGGTTACAAGAACAGGTTCGTGTGGAAAGAATCATCCACTTCCATGTCTAACTCTGAGCAAGGCAGGACGAGAAGTGACCAGTTCATCGTCCAGTCGTACAGAGGTGGGCCTCTGTGTGTAGATAGTGCTGAAGCTGGGCCGTTCTGGCTAAAATACCTGGACACGCTCCCGGAGTATCATCCCAGACCAAAGTAAGTGTCACAAGTAGTTGTCTTCCAACCTGAGGTTTGTTCTTTCTCGTACAGAAGCCAGCAAGGTAGCTGCACCATACAATGAAAGTCTAACAAAAGATCGAAGGCCAGGGAAGTTTTTATAGTCATCTTTCTTTTAGAGCGGCCAATGGAGTTTTGTTTCTCCGAGTTTTAACATACACACAGGGTCGGGACGAGGAAAAAACGACCAGCTTATACTATCCAGTTTGCTAGCAAGGATGAAATTAAAAGATCGTTTAGTGGGATTTGTTTCAAACTGAAGGACGTGACTTTTAATGTAAAGAGGGGCGTGATCTAGCATCACATAGTTCGTCGATAAAGCCTTCATGGCATGAAGCTCCATAGAACTTCTTGATATTCAAGCAAGGATGCCTAGATTGACAAAGTGGAAGTTCCAAAAACGTAAAGACCGTTCACTACTTTTGCTAAATGCGGATGACTTTCCATGCTTGTAATGTTGAATTGTGGAATGTGTGCATGGTGTTACGCAGTATAAAACCGTGGCTCATTTGGAGGAGCGGCATCACACCATTCCGTGTCGAATCATGGAGTCGTTCTCTATGATCAGGTTGCTGCTGTTAGTGCTGTGTGTGACATCTTCTGTTGCAGGCAGTGCAGCTCGACTAACACACTTAGTGAAGGACGACCCACCGCCTCCGCCACCAAGTAACTCCAGTCCACCGCCACCACCTGGGTATTCACCACCACCGTCACCAAGCTATGAGCCACCACCATCAGAGCCACCAACACCGCCACCAAGTTACTCCAGTCCGCCGCTGCCACCTGAGTATCCACCACCACCACCGTCACTAAGCTATGAGCCACCATCTCCACCACCAAGTTACTCCAGTCCACCGCCACCACCGTCAGTAAGCTATGAGCCACCAACTCCTCCACCAAGTTACTCCAGTCCACCGCCACCACCTGAGTATCCACCACCGTCACCAAGCTCACCAACTCCGCCACCAGGTTACTCCAGTCCACCGCCACCACCAGCATTATCACTAAGTCCACCACCAAGTTTCTCCAGTCCACCGCCACCGCCAGCGTTATCACTAACTCCGCCACCAAGATACTCCAGTCCACCACCACCACCTGGGTATTCACCACCACCGTCATTAAGCTATGAACCACCAACTCCGCCACCAAGTTCTAGTCCACCACCACCACCTGAGTATCCACCCCCCACCGCCTCAACAAGATATGGTCCACCACCTCCGCCATCACCAAGTTATGGTCCACCAACTCCGCCACCAAATTACTCTTGTCCACCCGCCACCACCGTCACAAAGTTACTCCCAGTCCACCCCCACC